GTCCTGTTTGAGTGAAGTGAATTTATTGAATTTTGCTGTCCTGTTTGACTGAATTTAGGGTTTTGAAAATAGGGATTAAGTCTATCTAATTTGTAGTTTGTGAATGATGCTTTGAAATGAGTACTCATTTAGAAATGTTGATGCAATATTGATCTTCAATTGCTAACTGAAGTTTATACTTTTCATTTGTAGTTTGGAACATGCTAGCGTTTGGAATTTGACGTTCCAATTCTATGATAGGGATATGATGTCTACTACACAACTTATTCTTGTAGACTCGTGTTAGGCCTCCAAGCGTAGAGTTTTATAGGACAGTAGCATTTTTCTCTCAAGTGGATGACCAAAGGATTATCAATTCGTGAAAGGCGTAGGATGAAGATGGTCTCTCTCAAACAACCCTGCAATCAAATACAAGAAATCTCGTGTGTCCCCAACACACCCAATACAATGGCAAATTGTATAGGTGCACTAGTTCGGCGAAGAGATGGTGATACAAGTGTAGTATGGGTAGTAGATATAGATTTTTATAATATGAAAAATATAAAAACAACAAGGTAGGAAGTGATAAAATGGAGCACAAACAGTATTGCAATGTTCGAAAACAAGGCCTAGGGTTCATACTTTCACTAGTGCAATATCTCAACAGTGTTAACATAATTGAATCATATAACCATCCCTCGACATGCGATAAAGAATCACTCCAAAGTTCTTATCTAGCGGAGAACCTAAGAGGAAATTGTTTGTAGGGTACAAAACCACCTCAAAGTTATCATTTCTGATCAATCTATTGAGGTATTCCTATAAGTGTCACGAATAGCCCTAGAGTTCGTACTAAAATAACACCATATGATACACATCAACCAACTCTAATGTCACCCAGATAATCCAATGTCACCATAAGTATCCATGAGTCAATTATACGATATGCATCAAGCAATTTCAGATTCATAATATTGAATCCAATACAAAGAACTTCCAAGAGTGCCCCAAGATTTCTACCGGAGAAAGTAGGACGAAAACGTGCATCAAGCCTTATGCATAGATTACCCCAATGTCACCTCAGGAATCCGCGAGTTGAGTGCCAAAACATATATCAAGTAAATCAATATAATACCCCATTGTCATCATGGGTGTTCATATGCAAGACATACATCAAGTGTTCTCAAATCCATAAAATTATTCAATCCTGTAAGTGCATCTAGTGCCATCCCTAGTTGGTTTTGGAGTATTGATGACAAACTTGGTTGAGAGACTAATGTGTTTGTGAGAATTGCAGGTAACACAGGTAGTAGTCCCATATTGATTCGGTTTACCTACCAGAGATGACCCCTAAAAATGTGTGAAGACATTGAAGACAATGGTGGTCTGTGAAAACATTCACATTCAGGACTATGTCATGAGAAGACATCGTATGAAGACTATGGAGTACGAAGACATAGTTGTTTTGTACTTTCCTTTTCTTCTTTGTTGAGTCATAGGAACCACCGTATTGTTAAGTGGGGTCCAAGTGAACAAAGTCAGAGTGACTGATGTGATGCTCAACCAAATCCTATGTCTTCGAGCGAAGACAATGCGAGCAAATCTTATCCAGAGCTGGATAAGTCAGCTTAACTTGTAGCCCAAGTCAAGTTGTCGCGTGTGTTTGAAATCTGACCGTTGGACATGTGTCAGTTCCTTAGTGACCCATGGTCATTTCAGACAAATCAGGTCGGGTTGCCTCCTGGCTATAAATAGCCCACCCCCTACACCATAAATTGGTGGCTGCTCAGAGTTAGTGCACGGCTTTTGTCGTTTGAGAGCAACCCACCTCCAAAGCATTTGAGAGAGAGATCCTTGCGAGGACAAAGCCCAAAACACCCAGAGCCAAAGAGTGTATCACTGAAGTCTTTCTGTCTGCGTGACCTGAAGACTTGTTACACTTGAGGACTGTGAATCCTCCAGCCGGTTAGGCGTCATGTTCTGAGCGTCCAAAAGTCATTGTGGATCGCCGGTGAACAAAGTCTGTGAAGATTTGGAAGTCTACCTTGAAGACTTACTAGAGTAATTGGGTGAGGACTGTGTGTCCTTAGCTCAAGGGGAATAAGGTGAAGATGCGGTCTTCTGAGTTGAATCTCAGCCTCCCTAACCAGACGTACAGTTGTCACAGCAACTGGAACTGGTCTACGAAATCCTTGTCTTCATCAAGATACTGGTTCTATCCTTCACTTCTCTTTACTTTACAGTTTGTCTTCGTGAAGTCATTGCATGCCTGTATGATCTGATTGACTTCATTGAGTGAAGACTCTTTACTGTTTGGCTTCATACTATCTTCCAGCCTGATCCATACTACCTAGCTGCTGATAGTCTTCGTGTTTTCACTTCATTGCTTAGTTGACTATGGCTTGTCTAGTGTAGTCTACCTTCCGCTGCATATCAATAGGTTCAATCCTTCTGTTTGTCTTCAAAGCCTCCGTGTTTTGAAGACTTCCATAAAAATCGCCTATTCACCCCCCTCTAGTCGATAACTAGCACTTTCAATTGGTATCAGAGAAAGGTGCTCCCTTATTCTGTGTGATTCGGTTTAACCACCTGGAGTTTTAGCTATGTCGACTACAGGGATGATCATAGTCTCCACTGTGTGCCCTGTCTTCGATGGCACTGATTACCCCTACTGGAAGAATAAGATGTGCATGCATCTTGAAGCCATTGACGTCGACCTCTGGTATGTCGTCAAGAACGGCATTCCCAAGGTCGGTGAAGGTGTCACTGCTGCTAATGTCAAGAGGTTCATTCAACTGGACTCGACTGCCAAGAACATCATCTGTGGTCATCTGACCAAAGGGCAGTATGGTCGTGTGAGTGCTCTGGAAACTGCGAAGCTAGTCTGGGACTGGCTCTCCAAGGTCAACAAAGGTGTCTCAACCCAGAGAGACTCAAGGATCAATGTTCTTCGCAACCTCTTCAA